TTTCCCAGGAGGACGGGTTTCCAGGAACAGTTTTCCTCCAGTGGTGTGCAATGAGCCTCTCCGAGAGCAAAGCAGACAGCTGGGAGTGCACGAGGCGGCCCTGTTGCTCACCAGCAGTGAAGCCGTTAGAGACCTATAGTCTGCCCTGCCCACTTCTCTTGAATCCAGTTTGTGCTGACAGCAGAGCAGAAAGACATCTCCTATAAACATACATGCAACATCTCGTGTTATCCCCCTCAGTTGTAACCTTCAGGAAGACCCATTGCTCAACACTGCTGCCTATTTACCCTTCACCACATTCTGGCCCCTCTTAAGCCCCAGAGATTGTAAACATCCTCTTTCTGTCATTGGTGGACTCGTCTACTGAGACTCGTGACCCACAGGGGGCTTCCTACTTTACCTTTGAAAAAACCTCTATATAATTTCAACAAATATCAATTACATTACCTGCTCATTAAAACAGGTTTGAAGAACAAAATTGTTATTTTGACAAGAAGGCCCCATGAGGTTTTTACCTCCTAAGAAGAATAAAGAGCTCAGCAAGAGTTTCCAGCTCTTGGAAATTCCCACAATCAGATGTCTTGTTTACACCTTCAGGATCAAAGTTAGTTTATTTCTCAGCATGTCTGATCCATCTAAAAGAAAAGAAAGGTGGGCTCTCATTGTCATATACATTTAGAAATATTACTAAAATATCACATTTTAGTTTTATTTCACACAAAATGCAGCTTGGCATCTAATCAGAAGTAAACACGGCAGTAAAAGGACATATGTGTAAAAATAAAAAAATGTACAGAATAAATAATGAAACAAATGGGATAGGAATAATAAAAATGGGATGTGAAGTTTATAAAATAACCAACACCAATATATAAAATGTACAGTCTGCTTACTTTTCACATACACTTAGTCCAATAAAAAGTAGAGTCTTCAAAAAGACATATGTATTTGTCTCTTATTATATTCTCAACAACCACAGCTAAATAATGACTTAATACCAGTACCTCATAATTCAAAGTTAGACTGTTTTAGATTGATTCATGACTCAGCTCCACACCTCCTTAATATATCCTTTCGTTGGTTTAAGACATACAAATCAAGTTTTTACACTGTCATGACTAATACGTGGTTATTATGTGGGGAACACAAGGTGCTAAATGCAGAGAGAGGTAACGTGTGCTAACATGACCCCCACATAACAAACCACTAACGACCGCTTCCTGCCCGTAGGTTCAGGCAGTGTTTGGTCTGTGGAGAGAAATGAAATGTCAGCACTCACACAACATCTTTGTTGTCTTCCTGTAAATAATGTAACATAGGGTTTTCTTTATCTGTTTGTCAAACTGTGTGCATGTTTTTATCAGCTGATTGTGTTTGCTCTCTCTGCAGCACTGAGGGACTGAACACACCTGAAGGTCTCAGGTGAGGGTGTTGTCTGTTTCCTTAGCAACCAGGAGAAACACTGGCTGCTCACTGAGTCAAAAACACACAACTTGTATTGTTTAATTACTGTAGGTCACAGCAGATTGGCTGGATAAAACACAGAACACACGCAAACAAAAACAGACTTAAATGCCTTTGTTTGGTGTTTTTCCCCCACAGCTATCTGCTCTACTCGTGTTGCGTGCACTTAAATGTTTGGGTTTCCTTTCCAGGGGTGGAGCTTGTAAGGACTTCACAGTTCACATGAACAAAGAAGTACTTCCAAAACACAGATGAAGTGCACATAGTGAAACATGTCCTGTTTCTCTAAGGGTGTCTCCCTCCAGAGCATCACATGTGAAAGTCGTTTCACGTTAACCTGCTTTCCAGCTGTTAGCCTTATCCCATCTGGCTTAAGCATACATTAGTCACACAGGACGTTTACAAATTATCGAGTATAACAACTGGTAAATTGAACTTGGAACAGCAACAAGTGTCTGAAGTAAGATGTTAAGTAAAGGACACACGCTTCTCTGTTTGTGTTGAGTATGCAGATGTCTGCTCATGGGTCTGGCTGTGCGTGTGGATGTGACACACAGATGACCTCAGGCAACCTGATAGTATTAAGGAACAAAGTGTTTCTTATAACAACTCTGTGACCCTCATGGTCAGAGATAATTAATAATATCCATGGGTAATACAAGAGGTCAGACCGCCCTCTTGTGGTTTACGTTGGGAATGATCTTCTATAAAGACACCTGTGCCCGAAGATGTGCTTCAAATAGTCAGGGGTTTGAGGTACATTGTGTACCAGAAGCTGATATACTGCTCCTGGTGATCATAGAAGAGCATTTAAATTACTTAAAGCAGTCACATTCACTTTCACTAATAGATTTGGAAACACATGCTGATTATTTGAATGAACTGTTTAAAAAAATGACTTTATAAGGCTTCATTTTCTAACATACATTTGTGCAAATAAGGGTGGGGGGGGGTGGGGTGGGGGGGTATTTCCTGAGCACTGACTGCAAGGTGATTACCTTCTCTGCCAAGAATAGCCTGTTTTATGAGGTCAGGTTGGATTTTCTTAAAATGTTACCTTCTGCCTGTGAACAACATCCTATTGCAATCTCCTGTCCTGTATAACACATTGCAAATGTGCGTGTCAATAATGTCAGCAGTATAAAACACTACAAGCCTGCGTGACTCCCCTAATCAGAATAGGATAAGATATGATCTTACTTTATTGCCTTTTGGGGACACCTTTATTGATCTCAGTATAACTGCATTACAGGACACTCCTTCCCAGACCTACTGAGCAACATCTTTACAATCATTCACATAATGAAATACATCATGACCATGTAGTGATACATTTCATGCCATGTGTTTGGTCTCTTTACATTTTTCAAATCACTTTTCATCAATGCTTCTGCTCCATTCAGTGCTCAACCTTCTCTCTGAGACAAATAATCTCCTCCACTGACACATGCAAAGCTCCCAACAGATGATGAAGCTTATTTGTGTCTGCTTACTTGGAGAAATTACGCATTATCCATTCTCATAGGTAGACAACACAAAGACACATGGCTGTAGAGGAGTAAGAAGAACAATTATCCATTCATTGACAAGTCTCTCTGCCAAGTTTGAGACCAAACCAGGTAGGTTTGAACCTCATACATACACTGACAACAGCACAGCAGATGATTTCATACTGTGGATTAGTTAAATATGTATTTCTCTCTGGACTTAGACAGGCTTTGGCTGCAGTGTGCCACAATGTGTTTCTGTGAGCTTCCCTTTTAGTACAGGAGGATTTGTTTATCCTCATAAACCCTGCTGTCCTCCCACTGCCGGGTCATTGAACACTCATGCTGTGCTTCCAAACTGTGTGCAAATCGACAAAGTTATGTATTTAATTAAAATTCTATTGGATATGTAAACATTTATAAGTATATTAAATATGTTTACGTTTTAATTTTTCACCATGTGTAAATACTGTAGCTGAATTAAGAGATGGAATCAATGGATTTACTATTGTGCTGCTACATTAGATATGTGTATGTGTTTCAAATAATCAGATATATATAGACTATCCTGCTGCTGTTTAGTTTACATTTCAATATTTCCATGAGAAATGTTGGTGGGCCTACTGCTGTAATTTAGACAAGGTCGCTTGACAATCAAATTTAAACCTTCCCTTTGTTTCGCACTGAGAACAATTCCACTTAGTCTCCAGTAGAGGGTGTTGCTGGATATCGAATGTATCTGTCTTTGAATCTATTAATCTGTAGCTCAGATACTACAGACAAAGCCACATCTGCATAATAATGTATACACCTTGCTCTATAATCTGTCCAACATCGTGTAACAGATCAGGTAGCAGATATATCCTATTCTTAGCTTTAGAAGTTGAGGCACTTAAACATACCATTTCCTCTACAGCTAAATAATATAATGTTAAATTCACATCACATAGCAGGTTTTAGGTCTGAAAAATATTCAATTACCAATAAAGCAATACAATTCATTAGTAGTAATGTTTTTATATTCCAAGCTCTGTAAATGAAAAGCCAACTCTACATTTTCCTCTCAGTGTAGGTCAAAGGCAATGTAGCATTAAGCCTAAATTGTTTTATCAAATGTATTTGTATAATGAAGAGATAAAGAGCAGCTCTACATTTGTGTCAAAACGACTTTACAGTATGTGGAACCAAGTGTAAAATATTGTCATCAAATGGGACGATTGATTACATCCAACATGCATCCATCTGCTATATTCTGATGGTAGCAGACTGTCACAGTCATTTTACCTTAAAGCATGTTGCACTGATTGTAAAGATCTTTCAGAAAGATTTTAATATCATGGAAGGCAGACAGTGTGCGATTTTAAATAATAGGTGATATTATTCCTGGTGTGTTTCTCCCAGAGCAATGCTTTCTAGCACATTAAAATGACTGTGTTCATTCTGGCCTGTGCCTCTGAATCCCGCTCAGTGCATACCTTCCTGTGTGCACCCTGATGAGACCTGTCTTCCTTTCAGACACACTGAGCCTCATCTGGTGGGACAACCTTTGGCTCTCCGCCGGCTAACTTTAGCCTCACAGCTTGCATGGTCTCTCTAAGCCTGTTTTGGGGTTGTGGTGTGTCAAAGTAGATTTACCTTCAATAACCATTTATTAAATCTCTATCCATTAGACTCTGAGGCTTCATAAGAGCTGACTGCATTAAGCCTGATTATGGGATGCGGGGCAGAGGAAAAGGGTCTATGTGTCAAGTGTGTCATCGAGTGATTTATATCCCTGGCTGGGATCTCTGTCTTGTCAGTCGAGAGTGAGCTGCAGAGAGGAGAGAGATGCGATGAAACCTTAAAAGATGTGAATTTCAGATCATTTTTTGAAGTGTGAATCCAGAGGTTGCTGCCATGCCTTGGGCATGTGGTTCATGTCCTGGAGGGTTTCTGTCTGGTGCTGATGTGGACGTTGCAGCTGACGTTGCAGCTGAACCCTGACCTGTCGACAATCTCAAGGGATCGCTTTTTTAAGTCAATTTGACTTCAATTCTTGAAGTCTTCAACATGGACTCCAAGGCCACCTTTAAACGGGGCTCCCTCAAACGCACCACATCTGGCTCACAGAAGGTAAGATGAAGCCTATCACAATCAACAGGTGATTCTGCGTTACCTTAACACATCAGGGCTGTGTTTTAGTTTGTTTTTAAAAAATAGTGCTGTTATAATATTATGTTCCTCTTGAACTGTGTTTGTGGCAGTTTAGTTCAAGTTATTTATAAATAGAGGCTAACTGCACTCTATCTCATCTTATTTTTGTTATCTTTTGTTAATTTTTGTATTCAGGAACCTTAAAACCATTGTTGAGAATGTCTTGTGTTGCACAGCATGTGACATCCAGCCAGTATTACAAGCTGGTCACATTAAACCCTAACCAATCATTTTAGAGCGTCTCTGTCCTGCCTGATGACATGCTCCAGTCAGGACGGCTGGCTGCATATGGGTGTGCACATGTTCTGCACTACGAGCCCCGCAAACTGTTAAGTGGTGTAGCTGAGTGGGCTTCAGTGCTGCAGTTTAATCCTCCATAATGGCCCAGTATGGACCACCACAGCCATGACAGATTAAGGACTTTAATATCTTTCTAAAGTCTGCTTTCATGTGATTAACACACTCCTGTTAACATGTCCTTGAAAGCAAGAAAGATGTCATTTTTGGGATTAGAGCATGACTGTGCTCAGTTTGTGTTGCTATTGTTGATGCACTTAAGCAACGAGGTCAAAGAAAAAAAAAACTCTTTCTTATTTAAATGGTTATTTTTTTTATAGATAACCCTTTCCATAATCATTCATTTACATCACAATGTTCCAGTTATGTTTTTCCTTTAAATACTGAGGAATATTGTTCACCATGTGGTTATTCAGCCCCACTCCTGATCCATATATCAAGAGTATCTGACACTCACATCACTTGAAGAATTTAGCGTGATGGGTTTCTATAAAATACAGCAGGCATTATTTAGTGAGATTAATATTCTTTGTATAATCCATATGAGGGTTTTACTAGGGAAGCAATCAGCGATGTCAATGGCTCCCAGCTGCACTTTTTATGAGATCCGATGTGTTGCTAAATATAAACACAGTCCAGGCTACTGAGAGATAACCCCCTTGCCCTTTTTTTCTGATTGTGTGTATTCATCATGTTGTTATGACAGTCTTTAATCAGGGATTTATCTTCCCTATTCAAACGATATGCGTACAATTCATCATTTACAGTGGGTCAGGGTATGAAGAAGGATTTATGTTTCATCCGCGATATAGTGCATCAGAAACAGAGAAAAGACCATTTCTCTTTGGATGTGGGAGGATGGCACATGATTAGAAATGAGTGTAAACGTCACGCTTGTCTTCAAACAGAGAGCACATTCAGTTAAATGTGATCACATGATATTACCTTGTTGCCATGGCATAGATGAACTTCTATCTTTCCATCTACCATTATCACTGTTCTAGAGCAGACTGCCTCTCCTGACCTTTTACCTCTTTTATCAGGAATTAGTAGCCTAAGGTCCAATATTTTAGAATTGCCTAAAAGCATCTGTAGCCCTAAGGGTGTGAATATTTAAAGACGTGATGTTTCTTGCACGGATTAATGAAATGTTCTCCATCAATAAAAGGCACCACATTGAATTAAATTGTGAATAACTAAATCTACCATTTCTATTGTAGTTTGAGGGTTTGCAAGATCATATGACCGTGTGATGTAAGCGTCAGGCTCAGGTCAGGTGAGGGCCAACAATCCACAGAAAGCTTTAAGGCTCAGGGTCGGGGGCCGGACTACAACAGGCTCCTATGTGTGAAGGTTTAAAGCTTTGGAAACGTTAAAGTTGAACAAGTTAGTTCTTTAAATGCTGCAGCATTATGTACTAAAGTTACATTGTTTTTTTGTTACTTAAATACAAACTTAACACCCCATAAAAGTAAACGTTGTTTGGCATTTTTTAAATACACTTCACTTTGTTTTGCTTGTTAAATAATCCTGTTGTAGTTGTTTAGTTGCTGTTTAGTTTGCACAACTTAAACTCACATCATTGCATTTAATTAATAATAATTTAAAACAATTGCACTGCAATCATTTGAACACTTTTTGAATATATAATGTTATTTATATAATATTATAATATACAATTTACTTTCCACTGTAGGATTATATCTTGATTAATGGTAAATTAAAGTGTATTCTAAATTATTCCTTTATATTTTATCTATCGATCCATCCAGCAATCTATCCGTGAATCTATCCGTGTATCTATCTATCTATCTATATAAAAAATGTGAAATATTTGCTACATATTGGCCATCATTTGAGACACTATATCTATCTGACAGAATCACACAAACACTCCACATACTATCTGTAAAAGTAGTTACAATTTGTTTCTTTTAAACATGACATGGGATGTAAGGCAAACATAAAAACTGTTACAACTTTAAAACTGTTTGCGGCTACCTGTCATAACTTACAAATAAAAATGTTTAGAGCTGATTTCACTTGCAATATCCTTCTCTTAAAATACAAAAAATATTACATTTTTTCATACTTTCTTCTGACTTTCTTCTGATTCCCTGATTTTATTTTAAATGAATTTGCTCTCCTTTTTTGTCAGACTTTCCTCTGGGGGAAACCAGCAGCTTTAAAACATGTCTTGTGACTCCCTCCACTCTTGGGGATAATCAGTGACATGTTGCACTCATGTGATTGCTAACTGGATTTTCAACCCAAGGAGGAACAATGAGTGCATTTACAAACAGTGCCGTCTGAAAACAGTTAGCTTCACAGTTAATGCAAATGTGCCTATCCAGATCCTATAACTCGAGTGTGTCGCTTGGTCCAAATGTCTTTCCCCTCCAGTGAAAATATGTAAAAGGCAGCTTGTTATTCGCTCCACGTGGGATGGACCATGAGTCTGATTTGTTTTAGACAGTAAAGGAGTCTACATGGGCTACCTTCCTGTCACACAGCATCAAGCTCTAACCACATCGCCATTCAAAACCAAAGCAGAGCAATTAGTTGCTTTTATCTTGAACCCTGGTGACATTCCACCAGGACCCCCAAATCCTTTCTGATCCATTTCACTTGTGCTGATGAGGCTTTTGTTGTGTGAAGTCCCTCGTCACTACAATATTCAGGACAAATCCCACATACAAGTTTTAAAACCACCGACTATAAACAATTATGTGCTCAGAATTCACTGAAATTGACCAGGTCAGATGTCTTCGCCTACAGTTATCATTATACCTTTTCCTATGGCTGCTGGGAGCTGAACCGGCCGTGTAATTGTAGCAGCACTGGAACACATTTGCTCTGATGCGGTTGCTCACTAAGCTGTGGGTCAGGAGACCAAGACCATGTGATTCCAGTACAAAAAGGCATGAATATATGGCATACATCTTAACTGAGACAAATACTTTGTCCAATGCTTTGTGAAACTGGTAGAAGTGCTCATTTCTTAAATCAGGATGGAGACATATTTAGATAAACCAGAGCAATGTACTTTGTTTGTAGGACATTTGAGGAAAAATGGGTCATACATATATTTTACATCTTTTCTGTGACCTCATTAGCAACCTAATCAGTATTATTTCCATTTCCACACAATCATCTTTTGTTTTGAACGACTATTTCTTCAGAACATTCAGCATTTTGGAATGAATGTTGTTTATTGTTCCGAGGCTTGTCTTAAGTCTTGTTAATTGGCTTGGTGTGACACAATCTGATCCTTCTAGGTTTTTGTTACTAAGTGCTCACAGGCAACTCTTAACGAGGCAGCTGGTTGCTGACTGGATTTGGGTTTTAATTGCTGTGGTTAATGAGTTTAAGTAAGCTGAATTAACTGCGACATGCTCACCAAACCCTTGTGGAAATGCGCTTTGTTTTCTCAGGCTATAATTAACAGCGGCCCACGTGAAATTTTTACCGGAGCAGAACCAAAAGGGCCAAGTTAGTGGGATGTTGAGCTTTTCTCTCCGTCTTTCTGATCCATCAAGCACCAACCTCTCTTGTCTTTTTCACTCTGATATACAGTGAGGCTCAAACTGCTCACTTCAGCCATAAAAGGAGAGCTTATTAAACCATTTCACATGAGGGAGGTTTTAAATGGATGTCTACAACTTTGTGCTTGTTAACTCCATCTCAGCTTCTAACTCACCTAATGCCTTCCCCTAGTTATTAAAGCGCTCCCAGGAAACCCTTAATGACTTCAATAGTTTTAACTGAATTACTCCATTAAATCCAGCATGAACAAAAAATGTGATTCATTTTAAATGTATCTAAATAGATCATATTTGACTTTTTCCTTTAAACAGTAACATCCTTTTCAAGCCAGCAGGGAGGATATTTATTATAGAGAATTACAGATGTTTCATAAATGCAAATACAATATAAAAAGAACAAAATGAAAAAAAGCAAGAGAATATTTAATAGCTGGTCTTCTGCATTTTCCTTTCATCCACAGAAACATGGTGGATGGAAATAGAGATTAACTGCAATTAGCATTGACTGACCTTGCCCCCAACTGGAGACCAGTCATGTCTTAACAAGGCGCCTTCCAAAAGAATGCCTGCATCCAATTCTCCCAATTATGCAAATTAGGTTGAAATCAAAGTAGTTGGAGGGGGTGAAAATGTTTCAAATTAAAAATTGGGGAACCTCTAAACGAGGCTGCAGTGTTTTAGGGTTAGCAAATCTGCTCCGTCTTCACACACAAGCTAAGATCTTCCACACTGTGAAGTGAACACAAAGAAAGGAGTTTCAACAAATTGGGAGATTAGGGGCCGGTTATCAAAGTAGATTTATTGTGCCTTGTTCAAGCGAAGGATGAAAATACCCTGTGGGCATGTAGAAGGGGTCATGGGACTCCAAAAAGGATTACCTTGAAATGGAGTCATGAGACTTGGGCGAACAAAGAGCCTGCTCACATGCTCATCATATTAGCTGGCCCTCATAAAGTGAAGAAGTTTCATGTCCTTTGGGATTCAGTGGAGCACTTCACTGGGGGAGCAGCAGCAGCAGACCTCCTCTCTGCTCTCTGGGTTTTACCTCCAGCAGCACTACTGATAGGACCCTGCACCTCGGACTCTGTGTAAGTGTATCTACATTCTGCAGCTCTTTTAAAATTTAAATTGCTTTTTTTAATTTTTCTTTTTCTTGTGGATGTGAATTCAGATGTGGTGATTTAGAACAGGCAGCACTGTTTAAGTTCTGGTTTCTTAATGACGCATGATAGCAGTGAGATGGAAAAACTGCTGAAACAAGACAGACAGCAACATCCACTCTCTGACTTATACTTTTATAAATACATCCAAGGCGTTCAAATTATTTTTGCAAAAGGCGACAAAGGTAAAGTGTTATAATAATAAGTACGCTATTCTAATTTTCATCGAGACTGTGTACATTGCACTAGCAAACATTACAAGGGAGCAGAACGTCTTTTTAATATATATTTATATGTGTGAAGCAAAGGGGGAAACGGATTAAAACATTTAAAAACAGTAGCAATGCTGTTCTCTTCCAGTTCTTATCAATAATAGCACACAGTATCCAGTATATTTAAATGCCATGAATTTGTATGAGGTTTTTACTATTTACCTTCCAAGTTTTTTTTTGGAAAGATGTCCTTCCAATGTTTCAGTTTTAATTGGGCCTCCACCGTCAACAATGGCCCTCAGAGGAACTCAGCTTTGAACTCTGGTTATTTTTGCACAGCGCTGAAACATCAGACATTAATCAGAGCAGGATATGACAAAGTGCGTGGGCATAGTATTTCAGTGCGTTGCTTATCGCTGGCTGCATATCAAGCTTGGGCAGACAATGTGTCGGTCAACATGAACTGTGCCCTAATAATCAAAGTTTCAAAAAGTGTTTTTCCTGTTGATTCCAGTGGACATGCAATATAAACTGTATTTCGAAGTGAACATTCTTACTTCAATTTATATTTTCTGCAATTTCACTTGGTCTGTTTTACAGGGTGCTTATACTCTTCATCTCTTATCTGGGATTACAACTAAAAGGATTTTGATCGTGAATTTTAAATTGGTAATCTGCCTGCATGATCTCCTCGTGACTTTGGTATGACACCATGTGAACTAACATTTTTATTTTATTTCTTCTCTTTTTTCTTTGTAGGCCGCAAGAGCTTGGATTGAGAGGACCTTTTGTAAAAGAGAATGTGTTCACAAATTTCCCACCAAGGACCCAAGCAGGTGATTTTCTCTCTTTAAATTGTCCTTTAAATATTTAGTTGAAACTTGGTCTTGGTCTTAGGTTAAAAAAGCAGCTCATTATCAAATGATAGCAAAATATGATACAATATATTTTACTGCTTGAGAGATCTTACTACAAACATTTTCCATTTTAGTCAAATGTATTTCAAATGTGAACGCCATACAAGGCTTTAAAATGTTTTCTTTTTATATTAAATACAATGAAGAGACACTTGTTGATACAATTTGTACTAGTATTTATCGTGTTATAAAAGCTACAAATTCACTATGAGTAACATTTAAGAGTTTGAAATAATTTATCTTGTTATCTGTTAGTTTGCTGAATCATGCCACCAGGTTTTGGGGCATTTATCAGGATGATTAAAACTGAATTTTCCGAGTGAGTTGTTGGACGTGTTAATTACCCAGGGCCCCAAGAGCAGCCAGGCAGTGCAGGCCTTTGTTCACTGAGGCATTGATTTCCCAGAAATAGTCACATTCATAAAAGAGCCTGCGATGTGTTTCGAGGAAAGAAATGGCCTTCATAAGTAGACTAAACAGCAAAGGCTACTAATTACAGTTCAACACTGGATAGTGTACTGCTCAAGGATTTCTATGAATGATCCTCACCAGGAAATCAGGGCCTCACATTAAATAGACTAACATGTTCTCTAAATGATGCTTGCTTTGTGATCTATTCAGATGTGCCTGTGGTCAGCTGACAACGCAGCACGTGGCCATCCCCGCTGGGGCCAACTCGCTGGAGGAAGCAAACCAGCTGGTGCAGATTGAAGCCCAGAAGGAGAAATGGAACGTGGTAAAACACACCCGGACTTACCCGACGGACTCCTTTGGCACAGTGGAGTTCCAGGGTGGAGGATTCATCAACAAAGCCATGGTGAGTCTCAGCAACTGAAAAATTACTGCAAAGTGAATGTGTGTTTTTTATGGAAATAAGTCACAAAACTGTTTTTTTCTTTCATAGTATATCCGAGTTTCCTATGACACCAAGCCGGACAACATCCTGCATTTGATGGTGAAGGACTGGCAGTTGGAGCTGCCAACTTTGCTCATCTCCGTGCACGGAGGTCTGCAAAACTTCGACCTCTCGCCCAAACTCAAGCAAGTGTTTGGCAAAGGCCTGATAAAAGCCGCCGTCACCACCGGGGCTTGGATCATCACGGGGGGAGTCAACACTGGTAAGACACTGACACTTCAAGATAATGCTTTTAACTTTCACTTAATAAAATAACAATTTGTGACATTAGAAGATTACCTTTGCCCTAAATTGTCATTGCACAATACCTATTCTGCAATTTGCTAGTGGAGATTTGATCAACCCATTGTCATTGGTTTAATTACTGTAATTAGAGCTTTTGTTGGGGAAATTCATCACAAAGGACCATCCTTGAGAATCTGGTGTGAATTTGGCATGCAGTTACCCAACCGTCCCATGGAAAACTCATGATTTATTTGGCTCTTTTTACCTTAGGGGTGATGCGTCATGTTGGAGACGCCTTAAAGGACCATTCCTCCAAGTCACGTGGGAAGGTGTGTGCTATAGGAATAGCTCCATGGGGGATCCTGGAAAACAAGGAGGATCTCATTGGGAAAGATGTAAGAACACCAACTGCATTTAGTTTCCATTCTTACTAATATTTCTTCCTCTTAAAACTAATTTATTGTCCTTTTTCCAGGTGACCAAACCCTATCAGACGATGGCGAACCCACTGAGTAAGCTGGCTGTGCTCAACAACAGCCACTCCCACTTCATCTTGACTGACAACGGCACCTGTGGGAAGTATGGCTCTGAGGTCAAACTTCGCCGGCTGCTGGAGAAGCACATCTCCTTGCAGAAGATCAACACACGTAAGTGTAATGTCAATAAACATCGTCCATGGTGTGCAAGGTGTGTTTTGTTGGACATGTGGATGGAGAGCTCCTCTGTGGCCCGTGGGCTTCCCTTTGTCATCCTATGCCTGGAGCTCGGTTAAGGCAGGGACAGCAAAGGGATGCTCAAATGTCACCAAAGACTTCACTCCTACCCTCCTCTGGTTTTGTCTGTTTTCACATCACATCAATGTGTTCTGCTTTGTCCTCAATGTTATGTCATAAGGTGGCTCTAAATGGTAAAAGGATACATAGGCTGAGTATTTTTGACTGTGTGTTGCAGGTTTGGGTCAGGGGGTTCCTCTAGTGTGTATGATAGTGGAGGGAGGTCCCAACGTGATCTCCATCGCTTTGGAGAGTCTGAGAGACGAGCCTCCTGTCCCCGTGGTGGTGTGTGACGGCAGCGGACGAGCTTCCGACATCATCTCCTTCGCACACAAGTATTCAGAGGAAGGAGGGTGAGATTTTAGATGATTTCTTCTTCGATGTACTAGGACATTATTCCTCTGGTAAAAAAAAAGCTGAAATATGCTCTTTGAATCTCATCTTCCAGCATGATTAATGATGATGCCAGAGAGCAACTTTTGGTAACTATTCAGAAGACTTTCAACTATAGCAAAAGCCAATCACAGCAGATCCTGCTCATGGTTACGGAGTGCATGAAGAAAAGGGAGCTGGTGAGTAGAAAGATGAAATAAAAATATAAGCTGTATTATCTTTAAGCTATTCAATAAGTATACTGTATATGAAAATCTGTGTCGATCAATAAACATTCCTGAGTTGTGAAACATCTGGTCTCCATCGTCCTTCATCCATTCCACTCATCTGTGTATTTCCCATTAACATATTGAATAAACATAATCCCCAAAACGTGCTTGTCATTTCTCCTTGTGATCATGTGTGGTATGTTCATGTAATCTGGGGCATTCACTGCTTCACTGTGGGACATCATCAGCCCTCATGTATAAGCACACAGCTGTAAAGTGTTGGTGGGGGAATCTGCAGTGATGAAGTGTTTAGTATAATGTAAACAATGTAGTATACGGCTCGAATATGAAGCAAACACTCTAGTGAAAGTCTTCACATATATCAGATTTATCCCTGAGTGTTTCCAAAGTGTTTGCTGGAGACTTTGCACATAAATAGTTGCAGCACGTTTGCATCTGCAGCAGATTTCAGTAAGTGTTGTGATTAGTAGTTTGTAATACCCAGCGCATATAATCTCCACACTCCATACATTTGGGTGGGTAAAATCAGCTCACACTACCACCTGCTTAGCAGAGGCTCTTACTTCATCAAATCACAGTAAGCATGCAGCACACAGATGGAAAAGAGGATCCATCTCCCTAATCCTCAGCCAGGTTCCTCTCTCTCTCTCCACTCCCCAGGCTTTTTTCAGTCCCCAGAGTGCTATCACTTCACCAGCGACTCTTCATCCTCCATCCTCAATGTATTAGACTGCCTAATGCGCCAACACACTCAGATAATCAACTTAAACTGCTTTTTCAAAGATCATACTGCTGAGGGCATTTAGTTTCCACTGATACGTGATCCAGACAACCACATTGTTTGAGCTCTTTACACGCATCCGAGAGGCCACACTATGTTGCATGCTCTTAATCTAAAGTGCCATGACTTACCTACAGGTGAAACAGTGTCACAGTCTAGTCCCCAAATAATCCTTTTTATCCTAAGTGCATCCAATGTGAACAGCTGGGTCAGATATATCAAAACTCTGATTCAGAGGGCTGAAATTTGCAGTGATGTAACTCGTGGATGCAAAATGTTCACCAAAACAAGAAAAGAATCCCCATTTGCAAAAAGCCCACAGTGCACCCTGCAACTGTCTGAGACAGAGGAAGCACGAGTTTCCAGAGTTACTGATGCTCATTATCAACGCATCCCGAGACCAGCCCTGAAATCTCTGGCGGTGTGCCTCGTATTCATGCAAACGTAATCCTATTTACCAGATGCACATGTGACAGGCCCGTCAGCGTAATTTCATTTGATATAGTCGAGTCTATCACAAGGAGAGCACTATCACGCTGTCTGACAAGTAAAATTTGCTTTTTGTGCTCTAAGGGTCAGCCTGCAGTGAGAATCCCACCGAAAGAATCTCCTATCAGTTTATCACAACATGTTTATGAGACTGGGAATGCAAATGAAATTGTCAATTTGTTCATGGATTCTGTTTGTCTTCAATTTATTCATCCAGTACATATGGCTTCACGTGGCTTTTCCTTCCTTTCTTATATGTAGATCACAGTTTTTCGGATGGGTTCTGAGGGACAACAAGATATTGAAATGGCCATTCTTACTGCCTTGTTAAAAGGTACTATCTGGCTGCATCACATTTGAACATCACTTGTTCACACACTATCAAATCCCATAAATATTTAACTTACAATGAACTAAATCCTTACTATTCTCTCTCTACCTTTCTTTCTTTTACGTCAGGCACCAATGCTGCAGCAGCTGATCAGCTGGGCTTGGCTCTGGCCTGGAACAGAGTTGATATTGCTCGCAATCACATTTTTGTTTATGGACACAATTTGCCAGTAAGTGTTGCTCACATCTCAAAAGTGAAAATGATTCACTCCAAATAAGTTACTGCAATAACAAAGTTGGCAAGAATGATTTTAGTACAGAAGGAAATCATTTGGTTTTGAAGGAGTTGCTCAAAGTCCCCCTCCACTCAAAAATGAGTTTAGCTTATGGTTACTTGACTTAATGGGAAAAAACCCTTATCAGGTATACATTCTTGTTCAAAGAAGACTATTTTAAATGTCTTCAAAAATGTCTGGAGGGGATCTTGAAATAACAGTCTGTCCTCGACCTATAGCAGAACAGAAATATCTATTTTGGATTGTGTTGTGCTTCAATTCAAGTAATACTAATAGCATAAAAGAGAAATATGTATGCTAAACTTGATTAACTTACCTTACTTCCTGCTTGGTAAGCCTGCCGGTGCAATGGCCAGTGCTACCTCTTTAGCCTCCACCCAGGACAAGCAGAAGAGTCCTTCCAGAGCCCCTAAAAGCAAAGCCCGGGGAAAGAAGGGAAAGGGGAAGGGAAAATCAAAGCCTGAACTTCCAGAGGAAACAGATCCAAGGAAGTTGGAGATCATTCGCTGGGTAAGAGAGGGGTTTATGGAACAAATTGACATCAGTATATGAGGATAATATAAAGGTTGTGATGTGTAGGCTAAATAATAAGTCATATGTATTACTTTCTCTCAGGTGAACTCTCTGGAGCAGTCTATGATGGATGCTCTGGTGCTCGACAGAGTGGACTTTGTCAAACTGCTCATTGAAAACGGGGTCAATATTCACCACTTTGTCACAATTCCCAGACTGGAGGAGTTATACAACACGGTGGGCCGGAAACACTGCAGCAAATTAAAATTAGACAAAGTCAGAATCAAAAATACAGACCTTACAAATGCATGAAGGTCGACACTAATCACAAACAATCTTCTCTTCTCTCAGAAACTTGGCCCTATTAATTCACTCAATGGTGTGGTTAGGGACATCAAAAAGGTAAAATGATCACTCCCATTAAATCTTCACTTTTCCTGCATAATCAACACTTCTTTAGGGTTATATATCATTTTGATACACTCCCTAGATTATATATTACTCTGGTGATTTTGCAGGGAAACCTTCCTCCAGATTATCAGATCACTTTGATCGATATTGGTCTGGTGTTGGAGTGCTTTATGGGCGGAGCTTACAGGAGCAATTACACAAGGAAGGCCTTCCGCAACCTCTACAATAATTTGTACGGACTTAAAAGGGTACGCATGAGTTGAAGAAAATAATTGATGATGGCACGTTTACCATATACAGTAACATTTAGGTATTTATGATCATGTTTTGTTCTCTTTTTGCAGCCAAAGGCTCTAAAGCTTCTAGGAATGGAGGTGCGGTACCCTTTCCACAAACAAAATACTGTCAAGTAGCAGAAACAATACAGCCCACACAGCGAAAATAATCTATCACATTGTGTTTTTTTGTTAGGATGATGAACCAAGGGGAAAGGGCAAGAAAAGGGGAAAAAAGAAGAAAGAGGAAGAGGTAGAAATTGATGTGGATGACCCAGAGGTGTGTCGATTCAAGTTCCCCTTTCATGAGCTGATGCTATGGGCGGTGCTGATGAAGCGTCAGAAGATGGCGCTGTTTCTGTGGCAGCGTGGAGAAGAAGCTATGGCCAAAGCCCTGGTGGCCTGTAAACTGTATAAAGCCATGGCCCATGAGTGCTCTGAGAGTGAACTAGTGGATGACATCTCCCAAGACCTGGAAAACAACTCCAAGTCAGTACATCTCTTAACTAAACATCACCTCTGTCACAAGCTGTTTACTATAAAGAAAACCACACGGGTGCATATTACTTTAGATTTAGATATATTGATCAACAATTAGGATATTCTGGTGTTAAATTCTTGTTAATTGTAGCACCTTTACGTTGGGGTTCCTGTTCTCTAACCTGAAGAGTATAGGCTCATATTATAATAGTGTATGTGTCATGTAATTATTGTTATTAATTTCCACTTCTTTTTTGATTTCGACAAGTGCAATTTATAAATTAATATTATTGTTCTTTCTCTCTCATAGAGAATTTGGCCAGCTGGCTTACGAGCTGTTGGACCAGTCCTACAAGCATGATGAACAGGTGGCCATGAAACTCTTAACATATGAGCTGGTTAATTGGAGTAACTCCACCTGTCTAAAGTTGGCTGTGGCTGCTAAGCAACGTGATTTCATTGCCCACACCTGCTGCCAGATGTTGCTCACCGACATGTGGATGGGATGCCTGAGGATGGGCAAAAACCCTGGCCTTAAGGTGGGCATCACAGATTGTTTTCCTTAAGGGCATTTCTTTAAAAAAACATAGAAAAACAAAAAGAACAACATCTTTAATAATTGTAGCATTCACCTTACATTAGAGAGTCATTCACTGTATCTAAACAATAAACTCACTGTGTCTTGCAAAAACTGTGATCATTTTCTCACCTAGGTTATTCTGGGAATCGTCTTTCCTCCGCTGATTCTACTGTTGGACTTCCGTCTTGCAGAAGATGCATCCTATAATGCACCTGGCCAAGAACAGGGAAAAGACAAGGATGACGACGCAAAATCCAGCAAGGTTCCCACTGACCTTGTCTCAATTGTTAATTTAAAAAAACATATTGTTTATATACCTATTATTTGTTAAGAGTGAACAATCATAACCAAAGGTTTACTGTTGTTTGTAGGACGGTAATGATGCAACTTCCCGAAAGGGGGATGAAGAAGAGGGCGCCACTCATGTCCGTAAAATCCCAATAGCAACTAGGATCTTTGAGTTTTATAATGCGCCATTCACCAAATTCTGGTTCAACACTGTAAGTTTCCTTTTTGCAAACAGTAAACTATATTATTCATTTTTTTGTATAGTGACTTAAGTGCACTTACATGTTGGTATTTCTTCTTCTAAAAGATTTGCTATTTGGGCTATTTGATGTTGTACAACTACATAATCCTGGTGAAAATGGAGCGATGGCCATCCTTACAAGAGTGGACTGTCGTTGCATACATCGTCACACTTGGCTCTGAAAAAATCAGACAGGTATACTGTCCATAAAACATGATATTTAAACTGTTCAAGTCATTACATGTAAGAGATAGTTTGTGGTATCTACATGACCTTTAAACCTCAATGTCTAGATTCTGATGTCAGAGCCGGGGAAGCTGAAACAGAAGATAAGTGTGTGGATGGAGGAGTACTGGAACATCACAGACATGGCTGCCATTTGCACCTTCCTTTTCGCACTAATGCTACGCCTGCAGAATGAACCTTACCTGGGCTACGGCAGAGTCATCTACTGCATAGACATCATCTTCTGGTACATCCGTGTACTGGACATCTTTGGAGTCAATAAATACCTGGGACCCTATGTGATGATGATAGGGAAGATGGTAACTACAAAAACTATCCTTGTTAATATCACATGACATCAGTATTAGTATGTATTATAGTGTAGGGAAGTTAACACAGAGTTTGAATGGTTGTGTGTTTCTTGTCTTCCAGATGATAGATATGTTGTACTTTGTGGTGATCATGCTGGTGGTGCTTATGAGTTTTGGAGTGGCTCGGCAGGCCATCCTTCACCCTGATGAGGAGCCGACATGGCGCCTGGCCAGAAACATCTTCTACATGCCCTACTGGATGATATACGGAGAGGTTTTTGCGGACTCGATAGACCGTAAGACTAGAATTCATAGTAAGGTTCTGTTTCCTGATTCTGGGCAGATGATCATTGTTACATTTACTTTTATGTCTTAAGTTATGTAATGTTTAGTGACAATGTACTACACCGTAAACCCTCAATACTTTGTCTCCCTCTGCTGGCATGTTTATTAAAAGAAATGTAATACATCGTACTCTGCATTGAGGAAGTGCAGGATAGGTATTATTATCCATCTCCTCAAGCATGATCATCTGCCTTCAAGTTTTGTCAGCGAGAAGGCAATAACTAGCAGAAAATACTAAATTGGCAGGGTTATTAATTATAAAAAAAGTAGTTTTCTAAATAAGTGGCTAATTAATCTGCCTGTTTAAATATTTAAAAAAGAGCGGCCATATAAAAAGTACACCAATTATCTTAGTGTTTGATAAGTAGCATGTTGTTTTTTGATAATACTTGTCCTCTCTTTCATGGTTTTAAACTTGACCTTTAATTATGATAACAATGTTAACGCTTTCTCCATGTTTGTTTCCTAGTCTATGCTATGGAAATCAACCGTGAGTAGTCTATAAACCAAAAGTACAATTATAATCCATAAACTAAAGATATCAGAATACATTGTATGACTGTAACCAATTTTTCCTGCAGCTCCATGTGGTGACCATTTATATGACGAGGATGGGAAGAAACTACCTCCATGTATCCCTGGTGCCTGGCTCACCCCTGCCCTCATGGCCTGTTATCTTCTGGTGGCAAACATTCTTCTGGTCAACTTGCTCATTGCAGTTTTCAAGTATGTATATGCCCCAATGTCTAACTGCTCTATTATCTTAAATCTACTTTCACAGTGTGTACTCACTGCATTTGGTTTCCTGTTCCACAGCAACACTTTCTGCGAAATCAAGTCAATTTCCAACCAGGTGTGGAAGTTTCAGAGATATCAGCTGATCATGACGTTCCACGACCGCCCCATCATGCCGCCACCTCTCATCATCTTCAGCCACCTCTACATCCTCTTCAACAGGCTGTTTCGGCGGTGTGTTAAGAAGAAACAAGAGGGAGAGCTGGATGAAAAGGACCGCGGACTCAGTAAGTAACCACATGATACTAAAAAACTATAGTGGTATAACTATTTAATATAGTCTCATTCTGGCTCAAAAAAATCATATTGTAGCTCATAGACATACACTTGGAGAACAGTATTGGTCCGAATAGACCACACTGACTTACATCATGTAATCATTTTCTTCCAGAGCTTAGGCTGAATCCAGAGGAGCTCAAATTTCTTTACGAGTTTGAAGAACAGTGTGTGGAGGAATATTTCCGTGAGAAAGAGGACGAGCAGCAGTCCTCAACTGACGAACGTATCAAGGTTACTTCAGAAAGGTAAACACACTTCTCAAGTGAAGCTTTGATATTTTTGAGCATGTTGAATACAGTTTATACTGACATATGGTTTCGTTTCTCTGGTATTTTTGTTAGAGTTGAAAATATGTCCATGCGTCTAGAGGAGGTAAACGAGAGGGAGAACAACATGAAGGCCTCCCTGCAGACAGTGGATCTGCGCTTGGCACAGCTGGAGGAGATCCACGGACGAATGGCAGTCGCACTGGAAAAGCTTGCAGGGGTAGACAGACTGGAACTGACCAGAACCTACTCACGAAACTCCTCTGTGTGTGACCCCTCCTCCTCCCTCCTTCGCCAGGGCAGTATCAACAGCGCTGATGGTTACAGTCTTTACCGCTTCCAAATGGACTTGGAGGACTTGGCAGCAAAGCAGAAGACAGATGAGACAACTAAAAGTGGTGTAGAGAGAGAAAAGAGTCTCCGGCAAGCCTCCGGTAGATGTTCTCCAAACAAAAATGAAGGTGGTCAGACCATAGAGGTTGCTGGTTTGGAGAGATCGGGTGTGGAAATTCTCATATCTCCTTGTAAACAAAAGCCTATTTCTGCAGCATCAAGTCATGAGATCTTATCCAATATAAGACAAGGCAAAACAGTGCTAGATAGCCTTATGCCTTCTTCCCCGCCAACAAGGACTAAGTCTTTGCGATACTATCCAGTTGATGACCAAGCCACCGCTCCTTTAACAAAGAGAAGGTCTATGAGCACCATCATTATCAGCCCACCTGATGAACCCGTAGAAGCAGAGGAACCCACGAAGAAGCCCGAACTGCCGCCAAGGACATCCTCTTCACCAAAGAGGACAAAATCTTTAAGATACTATCCAGTCGAAGACCAAGCCACCTCTCCTGTAATAAAGAGGAGGTCTATGAGCACCATCATCATCAGCCCGCCTGATGAACCCGTAGAAGCAGAGGAACCCACGAAGAAGCCCGAACTGCCGCCAAGGACATCCTCTTCACCAAAGAGGACCAAATCTTTAAGATACTATCCAGTCGAAGACCAAGCCACCTCTCCTTTAACAAAGAGAAGGTCTATGAGCACCATCATCATCAGCCCGCCTGATGAACCCGTAGAAGCAGAGGAACCCATGAAGAAGCCCGAACTGCCGCCAAGGACATCCTCTTCACCAAAGAGGACCAAATCTTTAAGATACTATCCAGTCGAAGACCAAGCCACCTCTCCTTTAACAAAGAGAAGGTCTATGAGCACCATCATCATCAGCCCGCCTGATGAACCCGTAGAAGCAGAGGAACCCATGAAGAAGCCCGAACTGCCGCCAAGGACATCCTCTTCACCAAAGAGGACCAAATCTTTAAGATACTATCCAGTCGAAGACCAAGCCACCTCTCCTGTAACAAAGAGGTCTATGAGCACCATCATCATCAGCCCGCCTGATGAACCTGTGAAAGCAGAGGAAACCATGAAGATGCCCGAACTGCCGCCAAGAACATCCTCTTCACCAAAGAGGACTAAATCTTTGAGATATATCCCTTCTGAAATCCAAAACCAGACTTCCCCTACCACAAAGAAGAGACCCATGAGCAGCATCGTCTACAACCCAGCGGATGCAAGTGTTGAAACTGCGGACTACAGATCAGTAGTGGAGCAGGTCTCTCAAACACCAAATCGGTGGCCAGAAAACTTGGAGTACCAGGTGCACCCTAGCGCAATTGGTCACATGCCTAAAGTTTCAACAGTGAGAACTATCGCCCAGCAGTTTAACAGTGGCACTGCACCTACAGAGCCTAAAAAAGAGGAAATTCAGACGGATCTTGTTCCTTTAGAAAGTGAGGGAGCTCTTCCAGCAGCGGAACAAACGACAGACCAAACTAAGATGAAGGCCAGGAGAATCCTCTCAGACACCACCGAGTATCTGACTGTAGCTGATGCAAAGAATTTGCCGTCTCACAGGTCACAGAGCTTTAATCTGAACGAGAGAGCAAAGGTGGTGAACAAGGAACCAAGAGCCTCCAGCAGCAAGGGAGACATCTTACAAGTCTGCACGGTGGCGGGGGGAGAGGAGGGCGGGATGATGGAGGCAGAGAAAAAAGAAGATGATGCACAGGAAAATAAATAATAGCCACAAAAAAAGGAGAAATGAAATACAGAATAGGGAATCAAAATAAGGAACTGATGCTACCATTGAGCAAGGAAACATAGCATGCCATTAACCGAAGAACATTTCTGACTGAGTTATAGATTTCCCAGAAAAGAAAATGAAAGTAAAGAAAAAGTTAACAAATTCTGTGTGTTGACAGTGCAGAGTAGTGAAAATCAACAAAGCTCTTTTAAAGATCCACTTACTTTACTAACTTCCATTGGTGTAATGTACAATAGCTTACAACCCTTTACATTACAGTTTTAACCAGTCATTGTGTTTCCATTTTTGATGTCTACACTTCCAGGTGAAAATAAATCAAGTTAGTTGTGCTGACATTATGACCCAATGTGAACATCAAAAACATGTATTTCCTAAGTACGATTGACACTTTAAATATGGTCTGTAAACATTTTCTGTCCAGATACTGTAAAATGTGCTTAATAATGATCCACTCAGGGGAATCCCTATAGCTTTCATGCAAATACTGACAGTGGCATAACATCATGTAGGTACATCTTCCAAGAAACAAACACCCTTTCAGTTTCATTTTGACACAAAAAACCTGTATACATAAAGGTTTCCTTAAAAACAGACGGTTATATATATATAAACAATTTTGTCTTTTCTATCACAATACTGTGACTCCTTCAAAGGCGCATATGAAGAAATATAAATGTTGTCAGTGCAACCGGAGAATATAGGCAGGTTTGAATACATACATTTACACAGACAAATACAATCAATGCTCAGACTCAATATGTCTATCTGAAAGCATCATCATAGTAAATATGACAATAGGTAGTATGTATAAAACAATGCTACAAGTTAAGAAAGATTCCGATTTTTTTCTTTTTTACTCCCATTTATAAAGACAACTATGCAGAATTGTATTCTATTTAATCAAATCTATTCAATGACATTCAACAGAAGTATTATAAAAGCCAACAGAGTCTCTGCCTCCTGTGAGCAGACACTGCATGGCCAGCTACTAACCAATGCTGATTATCACGCACAAGTCCTTTGCATGAGCGGATAAACAGTTTCAGGCCTCATTCCGGGTTGATCCTCATCTGGTCAGGAGCAGATCAGGATGGGATCTCAACATCATGAACCTGTGAACTTCAGCTGGAAGTAAAGCTCTCTGAATATTACCAATGATGCTGCTGCTGCAAGGACGCCCGGGAGGCAGGAGCCCTCCAAAAACAGGAAAGTCACGCAAGAGCCAAGAACACCAGAGCCAGATCCTAGAGGAGTGAACACTTGAACAATTTGATCCTCTTTGACTTTTTCTCTGTGATCTTGACAGGCTTTCCAGATCCTCCGGCATTGTTGTCAGTCTAGCAAGGAGAGATATGAAAGTGGAGAAATAAAGTAAGGCTTCACATTAAGTGGAGCACCGATCAAAGGCATTTATATTCATTTAAATCAAGCAAAACAACATTTTTATGAGTAACTCGAATAGTAATGTGATTTAACTGATGTTTAACATGTGATTTTCTTTAATAAAGGGCTAATGCTTCACGATAAATCTGTATTTTGTTTGAATGATTTCTATTCTTTGCATATTTTTAGGAGAATATAGACGTCTAAACAAAATCAATTAAATATGTTTTGCCCCCAAATAATTGCAGCAGTCCTCCTCTCCAGCTGCATTGGCCTCTTGTAGCCTAGGAGGCAACATACAGGGCTAAAATAATTGCTACTGCTTGCAAAGCTTAATGCTTATATCACATAAAAGTAAGGGAAACATGTCCCTCCCATCCCCAGTGGACTTTACACCCTTTGCATCTATTATAAGAATCTCTTAATCACTTACTGTCTTTGAGCTCAGGTTATGTAATATGTCTCTTCCCATGCTATAAAAAGCCTAGAATGACAAAAACAAAAAAACAGGTAAATGTACATATTTCTTTTTATTTGTGTTATGTTGTGCTTTCAGGGTTAAAACATGTTTCTTACCTCTTCTACATTCAGGCCAGACTTTGCACTGGTTTCCAAGAACTTAACTCCATAATCAATAGCAAGCTAAGAGAGACAAACACACCATGTTAGGGTCACTCAAGAAAGCCCATCATTTTAACTTGCTCAAGACTGCTTGTTGGTAACAAGAGAAACGTACCTTTTCTCCTCTGTCTTTGGACACCTGTCTCCTGTCAGTCATGTCACATTTGTTGCCCAGGACCATCTTCTCCACATCAGACGAGGCATGCTGGAAGAAGTTAAAACAGTAATTTTGCAAAGTCTTATATATGTCACTCTTGGAACACATTGTTAATATCATCAAGTTATTTCTACCAAATATAAAATCATGTTATGTTATTTGTTTTCAAATCTATACAAGTTTTGATTCAGAGCTCACCTCTTCAATATTTCTAATCCAGTTTTTTATGTTTTCATAGGACTTCTCATTGCTGATGTCATAGACCAGCATAATGCCCTGTGAAGAAAAACAGTCCTCCTCACAAACAATTTCATAGATCTTGTGATATGCAAGATAAGCCAATAGGAAGGAAGTGCAGGATAAGGAGCAGACTTACCATTGCTCCTCTGTAGTAAGCTGTTGTGATGGTGCGAAACCTCTCCTGTCCTGCAGTGTCCCTACAAAACATTAAGTTGTGCAAGTTGGTGTCACACTTGGATTTTTTTAAATAAAAAATAAAAAACATATTCAAATTACACTTACCAAATTTGAAGCTTGACTCTTTTTCCGTCCAGCTCGATTGTTCTGATTTTGAAGTCTATTCCTGCATTTGAATAAACAAACAAAGACAGAGTGGTATTTGCTGATGCTTACTGCATTGAATAGTTAGATGTCATCAAAAAACATGTTGCTAAGATGCACCAAAAACCAGGAACTTCTGCAATAAGCAGCTGCCCTTTCTGACCTTTAGTAACTTTTCTATTGACTGGTTATCCTATGCCAGCAAAGGATGACATCATTCAAAATCACAGCAATACTAGCTGCTGCAGTATACTGAGTGTAAAAGCCTTATGGATTTAACAATAGCCTATTATAACGATTCTGAATGGCACCAAAAAGGACTCACAATTCAATATGGTTCCCAAAGGTCAAACATCATTCATGACTATACTATTGATATCATTCTAACCTCCCTGGCAGTGGTTCCTATGATCCATCAAGGACATGAGATCATTAAAATGTGTTTCTCAGTTCCATTGTCCTGCAGTTACTTCCCCTTTAAACATTATTGGTCTGTATAATATAAGGAAATAGGTTTTAATACGACTCTATATTGATCACCAGTAGTGCAGTGCAGTAAAGCCTTGTATTCTGTCAGTATGGGCAATAATTAAGTCAGATGTATCTTGAGGGGCGTTTTCAGCGGGGTACTCACCTATTGTAGATATGAAGGTGGTATTGAAGGAGTCCTCGCTGAACCTGAACAGCAGACATGTCTTGCCGACTCCGCTGTCTCCAATGAGCAAGAGTTTGAAGAGATAATCGTACGTTTTCGCCATTTAAACACACGATACACTGCAACGTTTCGGTTATATTAGGCCGTATGAGTCGGGATCCCCGTTTGGAAATCCTCAGCTGTCTCAGGCACTGGCAGCAGCAGACCGGTGCCGACAAGTGTGACGTCACATTCTGCTTTGCATTGTGGTCTATGTAGTTTGCAAGAATAATGTGTGAGCCATGACTAAATGTAGTCTTCTTTTTTCTAAACAATCGCTATGCTTTTTAAATGGATAAAATACAAACATAAACAACACTTAATGGATTCACTTGTTTAATGTTAATGTTGTACGGTTGTAAAAGGAATTTAAATTGGCCCATAGGACCTCTAATCAGAGACAGGAACGTGGTATCCTTGTACCATTTGCATCTTAACATTACAATACAATACAAAACAATTGCTTTTGGCCCGTTGCTCAGCATTACGTTTAATTTAGTCCCAACAAGGATAGGCGCCATTTGCACTGTGTAAAACTTTACACAAAACTTCCAAAGAAAAGTGGGACTGGTCAGACTAAGTGAAATAAAATAGTATAGCAACTGAAAGATATTGTTGAAGACAATGCACTTGTTGAAACTTTCAGAGCAATTGAATACATGTTGTCCTATCCACAGAATACAAGGCTACCAAACAAAACCATGTGAAACACACACACACACAGAAATGAATAAATATAAAATGTAAGTGAAAATAAATGTAGAAATAAATTGAAGATATATAGTGTGTTCTGTATTATTCTCAATTTTAATTTTTTTATTTAAACATTTTTTTATTTATTTCCATATTTATTTATTTGTTCTTGTATTTTTCTATTCCTGTATTTATTCAATTTTTTCCCCCTGTATTTATTTCCACATTTATGTAGCCTATTCCTGTTTATTTCCACATTTATTGATTTCTCTTTTTTTCACATTTATTTATTCTTTTATTTTTTATATTCCTGTATTTATTCCTGTATTTATGTATTTCTTACATATGTCATGATCTGTCCTCCTGATACCTGTGTGCTCGTTGTGTGCGTAAAGGTACAATTTCACTAAAAATCACATCACAGCAAGAGCTATAGTTGGCATTCATTGATGTAATAACACATTGGTGGTCCAGAGGTCTATGCATTGGGTTTCCTGGGTTCAACACCCAGGGGAGGGACATCTTTTGTCTTCTTGCTATGAACTTTTTCTAACAAAGTGACGCCCATGTATACAAGGCAAAAAGTTTGGGCACCCCAGTTTCAGGGTGTGTGGGATTCACCCAGAGGCCAATGTTGTGGTTGTTGCAAACTGTATGGGTTATAGCCATAGGTTGTAGCCTATGGTTGTAGGGTTGTAGCCTAAGTTTTGAAGTGAAATATATCAATCTGGAGACAGTTCAATCAAATGATTTAGCTGTCTCAATGTAATCTTAAACATATTAGTTGTACAGAGCAATTGGTGATTACCAGCCAAATAAGCAGCACCAAATAATACTACTACTATTACTAGCACGTGACTGACACGCCGGGAGCAGGTACCCGTACATCACGTCCCGCCGCGCTGTGCACGGCGATGCGGCGAGGTTTGGCTGTAAACCCACGACCAGAGCAACCTTCACCCTTTTTCAGGGATAACTTTAGGGGAGGCATCTTT